TTATATTTTATTCAAAAATAAAAACATCATCGTTTTCTCAAAATCACATAAGATCATATTATAACATCGACAAAGATAAAAAAAATAAAATAAAATATTAAAATCAAGATGTATCTCGCTGCATTGCGCGAGTATCATTCTAGTAATTTATATATATACGTAGAGGAGGCTTTAAATATCAACCAATGTCACTGTTACAAACTATACAAACCAATCAATTGAGATATTTATGAAAATGATGAGAATGTATTTATTATGATATAAATATTTATGAAAGATGATTAAAGTTCATTAATTATGATCAACACTTTATATTATGAAAAATCGATATATTTATGAAAACACATATTCATTAGACTAGACATTCGGTTGTAACTAGTAATGGCCAAAATCCGGTCTCGGACCGAAACAGTGATGCTCATAACCGGTCCCTACCCAAAAAAAAAATTAATTATAGATTTTTTGAATACATTGTAAATTTGTAATTATGTCACTCAAATACACTTTAAAAATACATTTTATTATAATTAAAGTTACATTCAAAATATTCAATTACATTCAAACGACCACATTGACCTTGATTGTCAAGTATCGGTTGGCTTGAATCGTCCCCTGACCTCAACCCCGGGCACGTTTTTTCGGTGTGCGGTCTTAAAGTATAATTTTTTTTCCGCCGTAAGGAGAGCTTGACACTTATGCATTGTGCATTTCTTTTCCCGTTCGTGAGGATCACAAAGTTGTATGAATTCCCAATCTCGGATTTTCGTCCGTGCTTAGCGTAAACTTGGGCAATTTGTTCGTTTAATGCATCATATTGCTCACCGGCCATTTTGTAAGACAAAGAGAGAAAGAAATGAGAATTGTGAAGTGGAAGTGAGAAATGAATACGAGCCGAAGTCACAAAATGTAGCGAGAAACCGAGAATTGTGAACGGCTTTTTCGTTTTGTAAGTTGGTATCTTACACCATACTCCAAAACACACATATATTGTTTAGAAGGCCAAAAAGACAAAAAAAAAAAAAAAAAAAAGAGGGTCAAAAATTGCAAAAAACGGTCATATAAACGTTCCCAACGGTTAAAAAATGGCTCTTTTTTTTAACTCACTGGGCCGGGCCGGGCCCATAACCGGTCCCGGTCAGGCCGGTCCCACAAATCCGTCCAAAAGCTTAACCGGTCCTGGTTGACAGTCCCTCAACCGGTCCTTACCAGTCCCGGGTCGGGCCGGTCCTTTGCTGAACCCAATTCTCCAGCAGTCCAAGGCCGGTTTGGTCATCACTAGTTATAACTATCTTTAATTAAAAAATTAAAAAAAAAAAGGAATAGTGAATAGATGAGTTGCATGAGTTGTATAATCTAGAGAGGTTGTATTTGATCGCCTCTCTGTAAGTATGTATGTATGTATGTGTATATATATATATATATATATATATATATATACGTACATATGTGTATACGTATGTTTATGAACGTATGTTTATGAACGTACATACGTACGTATGTATACGTATGTTTGTGTCTGTATGAACGTATGTTTATGAACGTACATACGTACGTATGTATGTATAAGGGAAGATCAAATGACAATACGGTCAATTTGCGGGAAAATAACGAAAAGCTTATAGATCAGATGTGATTACAAGAGTAAAATCACATATGATATATGTCCAATAAGACGTGCGCGACTTGGTCAATGCTACCAAGGGTCACGAAAAGAGTTACCTTCTATATAACCGATCAATGCAACATGTTTATATTTCATATGATTACATATGACCTCAGAATTTCCCACATTCTCACAAATCTTACATTATCTTGTTATGTCACATCAAAGATAGCAGCAACCATGTTTATAAATTTAAAATAGATTAAATGGTCGTTTACTAAACGCTTATTTGGTAAGTGCTTACCGAATAAATTTCTTCATTGGATGAACATGACAAGGGTCAACAATCTTATCGGGTCAGAACGATAAAAATGATAGTCTTACCCAGTAAATGAAGATGACGCCTCCTACCTATGTAAGTGCTTACCCGGTGGTAAATTGTTGCATTCAATACGTTTTGATGTACTAAAAACTCAAATCATCAAAATGAATTATAGTGTTGACTCATATCGATAAGCACTTACCGGGTAAGCATTTAGGTAAACAGCCCCTAAATCTGGATTTAGGGAAGACGGTCAGTTACTAAAAAAAAACCTTGTGGTCACATACAACACAATATGAAGCTAACAATCAAACAAAAGGATAAAAACACCAAGAAGTTACCACATACTAATTACTAATTAGTATACGTGTAAAAGAAGCATTTTAAATTAAATTCGCATTTTCCTTTGATTTTGATTTTGTAAGCATTCCAAGTATTATTATATCTCTGAATAATATGCTGATTTTTGCAAGACATTCTTGATTACCACCACAAGCAGCAGCTCAAAGACAAGACTGGTAATCATCTTTGCATTACAGTTAACATCCATCCAAAATCATCTATCCACATTAACCAACTTGTACTCTATGCTCAACAAGTGGTACACAAACCATTTGCTAATACTCTCTCTCCCTCGTTATACTTGACTCGGTCGCCTTTTCCCCGCATCCGTCCTCATTCTTTTAACAGGGTTCGCCCAACCAACGCCACCTCCCGCCTGACCAATTGTTTGGCTTTGGCTCAGTCTAGTTTGGCCCGGGCTCCTAGTCCCACGACCCACCGGTGAAACAGGACCAGCTGCTTTCACCACCCCTGACTTTTCTCTGTCCTTCCTCTTCTTCTTGCAGATTACAAAATCACCTGGATGGGTGAAGGGTCTAGGTTCTTGAGCAACGGGTGCAACCCTGGTCCCGAACCGTGTTTCTTTAGCAGGGATGGACCCACGAGAAAGTGGTCGTGAGGGAAGACTTGGTTCGGGCTCTATGTCGATTGTCGGTTTTGGTCGTTTGGTTTGTCCAATGGGTCTAGGAGATGAAAGCGATGCGGAGGAAGCTATGGAGCCAGAGAAAGTGAGCGCACTCCTGGCTTCTCGAAAATCTGTGTCGGGAAATGCTATCTTCATTATATCGAAAAATAGATCATGCACCTTCCTTGCTTCAGATCTCACCTGTGTTCATAATAATTAATGGAATCAGAGAGACCAAAAGGACAAACTCAGTGCACCATCACTCCAAAACTCACCCCTAATCAGAGCCGATCACTTTATGTCATTAGAGACAAAATCAAAGATATAACCACGAGAAGTATATGTTAAGATCTTTATTTTTGAGGGTTAACCTCAAATTGATTTATAATTATCTATCTAATTAGTCATTACCAAAGTAGAGTCGGGTTCAAATGAGAAAGGATCAAATAAGAAAACTCGAGTACGGTCATATTACATGTGATTTTAACATTGTGTCGAAAATTACATGTGATTATGCTCAACTTAGGTCGCGGGCCAAGTCACCCGCACACCCTTGCGTTGACTGTGTTCTATAATCGCATGTGATTTCAGTGCAAAATCACATGTGATATTTGGCCATTCTCGTGTCTTACTTTGACCCTGTTCTCGTTCGATCCTCCCTCTACCCAAGTGTTGGTAGATATGCAAGCACCAATTGCAGATGGGAAGATTTTAGCGTTGGAGATGTGAGTATATATTTGTTCACTTTTGCAGACCTGTCCACTACCCCGAAGAGTAGAGCAGTTGTTTTGTGAAAGACTCCTTGTTTCCATGAAGTGTTTCCAAAATGGTTTTAGTGAAGATGGGCTTAAGAAGGTTTGTCAATGAAGTTCAAAGAAATTGAAAAGTAGGGAGGAACTTGGGAGGAAAAAATTTTGAACCAAAAATCGATCCTTATTCGGTTAAGGAACCATTTAACCCGGAACCGTTTGACCCAAATCTCATTCGTTTCGGGTGGGTTATTCAGTTTCGGTTATCTTTTATACCCCTACTCGGGAACATTCATTGAAGCTGTTACCCATGACACATAATATTGCTCAAAATTATCAATTAGAGTAACCACATAAAATGAAACTGAAGCATCATACCTCATGCGAAAATCCGAAATACTGCATTCCACCTTTTAACATAACCTGCACATCGGCAATCAAATCCATAACTCCATTGTACTCCAATCTGTCAACACGCAGCTCAATCTTTCGTAGGTCAAGAAGACTATTGCCAGCACTGCTACCGGGACTTTCAGTTCTCTTCCACAAATCAGTTAGCAATGGAATAATTTGCTGGCCTTCCTTATCAATTCTCCGCTGGATTTTGGTGATTACATTTTTACACTGCAACAAGAAAAAATAACATTCATGCACAACCATCAAAATTCAAATGCTTCATAGATAACCCCCTATGTCTCTTCCCGTCCAACTCACCGGGAGATAAAGAGACGGAACTTACTGAATTTCACAGTGAGGTCATTTGATACAACATGAATTTGTGATCAAGAAGATAATATATTTGACCACGATTAGAGTTGATGCCTTATTTATGTTACCATGCTTGATGCAAATTAGCTATATTTTATAAGAATGGGCAATGTACCAACAAAAACTGCCAAAAAAGATGAGTATTTTCACATTTACAGTTCCACAATTTTTCCTAATTATAATGCATGATTAATTGTTCATACCATTGTTCTTAGATTTTGTTGCAAATAAACCATCGTTTTTGAGGAAATGCAAAACGAACACCACCCTTTGGAAGATTAAAAAGATTCAACAATAAAGTGTTTGTATTTACGAGGTCTATTCTTTTTGCATTTTCCAAAAACATGGCATGTTTGCAACAAAGAAAACAAACACGATAGTCAGAAAAGTTACGCGTATTAACTATAGTACATACCCTTCTTTGGATAGCCTCGGTCATCGCGGGTCCACCAAACAGCCCACTTCCACTCTTTACTTTCACATCCGAGCTTTCTTTAGAGTGCTCAGCAGCATCTTCTGCAGGAGCAGATATGGGATTTGTTCTGGTTGGTTTCGCTGCAATTTGAGCATTTGCCTTGTTTGAGTTTTTCCGGGTAGGCGGAGTTCGCTTAGCTTTCAACAAGGCGTTATTCTGATCATGTTTGTAAGAAGTGTGCTCTTGAACCAACTTTTGTTCAGCTTGAATCTTGCCATGTAGTCTACGCTCAGCTTGGAATGGTGACTGAGAGGAGTCACCACGAAGGAGAGAAGACTTATCACCAGACTTCTCATCCAGCCTCTCCACAGCATGTCTTGGTCGAACTCGAACACTACGTTTGCGCTTTATTTTTGGCTGCAAAACCTGTTCATCTTCACCTTCATCACGCTCATGATTTAAACTACCAGATTGCTGAAGGTCAAAATGTGAATCTCCAGACATGGCAATCTCCCCTTCCTCAAGATCATCATGCTAGTTGCATACATTGTATGATAAAAAGTTAGATACTACATTTAAAATAATCTTTTTCTTTTTACGTTTTGAGCAAAGCAAGACATACCAGCCTTTTCGAACGAGAACGTGGTCGAGCATCTAATGCAGAAAGTGACCCGAATTTCTGAGCAGAAATGGAAGGAACTGCTATTGGCATTAATCGTCGACTACCAGAAGATAATCCTGAAGAACCAGCTTCCTGAAGCATATGATTGCGTCTCGCGGTATCAGGTGTACCGTTATACTCATACCTATCAGTAGAAGGAGGAAGGTCATCTTCTGATTGGCCTTTGTCAACAGTAGGTACCTCGTTAACACCAACAGTTTCATCATCTTCGGAATCCCCAACTTCTCCCTCTGCATTTACAAGCTCTTCAGAGCTAGCTTCAGAGAACTCCTCGATGTCATCATCCAATTCGGCATAATTTGGGAACTTCTTTCCTTTAAATCGTCCCCTTCTTTTCTCAGGAATATCAGAAGCCATTTCACTTGGTTCCACACCGATATTGTCAGTAAACAGAATGTCCTTTGGTGGTTTTTTAGACATACGGGCAACGGTAGCATTCACCTCTCGAGAACTAGCACGGAGCCACTTTGGAACTTCGTCGTATCTTGTCATCTCTTCTGCCCAATCAAATTCTTCATCCATCTGATCAAAAAGATCCACTTCTTCTTCACTTCTAGCAATCATTCGGTTGACATCTTGAAGTGAAGGGACGTCATGAACAGTTTCTTGATATCTCTCTTCATCACGTAACAATGACTCCAAGGTTGAACGCCTTTCTTCATGTGTGGTTCTCTGGTCAAACCTTCCAGCATTGATAACTTCATCAGCCATATCAATCTTATATTGCTGAATATTATTTCTTATGAGGCTCTCGATAGATCCTATGTACCGATCCTTACCGGCAAGATCATCGTCTGAATCAACAGTACCTCCATTCCTGAAGTTGTCCTCTTTCTCATGACTTGCAACTTTATCAACCACAGCTTCCATGTATATAACCTTCACTTCTCTTGTCTGCCCAATACGGTGAGCTCTAGCAACTGCCTGCTCCTCGTTTTTAGGGTTCGGGTCAGGATCATATATGATCACTGTGTCGGCTGTCTGAAGATTCAAACCTCGTCCAGCTGCACGAATGCTGAGCAAGAAGATAAAACAATCTGTATCTGGGCTATTGAAGTCCACAATAGCAGACTCTCGGTCTTCCAAACTGGTTGTACCATCAATTCTTCTGTAGACAAGTCGACGCCACTGCAAATACTCCTCCAAAATATCTAAAAGCTTTGTCATTGTACTAAACAGAAGTACTCGATGCCCTGTTCTTTGAAGCTTTATCAGGATCCTATCAAGAACCCATAATTTGCCACAGGATCTAACAAGAAAGTCTTTGGAGAGATCATTAAAATACGGGTAATTAAGCAAAGGATGGTTGCAAGTTTTTCTGAGCTCCATGCATTTATTGTTCAATGGCTTGAATGTCTTGGCCTGGTACATCGGACTCTTCTGAACCTTCCGCTTCTCATCTTCAGGGTCAACTCGGATAGTACCAGTAGATTTTATCCAATCATATATAGAACCTTGGGTAGCTGACATTTTACATCGTAAAATGATGGAGATCTGCAATAATAGGTTATAAGGTCATCCCCAGGCCAGAGTTAAAAGAAGTTGGAAAAACTATGATGAAAATGAAAAGATTACCTTTGGAGGAAGTGAACCTTCCACATCTTCGACACGACGTCTGAGCATAAAAGGCTCCAAGATCTGATGAAGTCGATGTATAACGATAACTTTTTTCTCAGTCTCCAGCCAATCATCCTCAGCATTGTGTGAGACTTCCTTCTGAAAGGGCTGTGAGAACCAGTCGTGAAACACTTTGCGATTGTCAAAGACTTCTGGAAGCAATAGATTCAATAATGACCAGAGCTCCTTAAGATCATTCTGCAGAGAGAAAAAAAACACAGCACTTTTCAACTCAAGCTGCGCAATTAAAAAGTAAAAACTTTAAAAAATGAGTTAGGGCCTGTTGTTAGTAGCTTAATGAGCTTAATGAGACTCACAACTTACTCGGTCAGCTATACATGATTGTTTGGTAGTGGCTAAATGATATAGAAAGTGACTTATCTAGTAAGCTTCTAGGCGGAGCTTTATGCAGAAAGCAACGTTTTTTCCAAACCTACCCCTCCAAATTAACAAATACGCTCCTTCCATCCATGAAAAAACCTCTCAAACAAAAACCTTCCCAGTCTATACAGACAGATTAATCCACACAGACAACTTTATCTACGCAGGATTTAATGGAAAATCAACCAAACAACCCCTTGGTAGGCAATATACCAGAGCATTACATTCTAGCACTAAATGCTGATTGGATGGAAATTCTATATGGACAGCAACAGCAACATATTAACAAGGGCTGATAAATCGGTTACCCTCTTAAGAAAGATGTTCGAACTCTGTTACTATATAGATGGGTGTTGATTGGCTTCTAGTTAACTTTTCACGATTTAGATAGAAATTAGTCAACACTAAATGCTGATTTAGATAGGAATTAGTCAGCACTAAATGCTGATTTAGATAGGAATTAGTCAGCACTAAATGCTGATTTGATGGAAGTTCTATTTGGACAGCAACAGCAACATATTAACAAGGTCTGATAAATCGGTTACACTCTTAAGAAAGATGTTGGAACTCTGTTACTATATAGATGGGTGTTGATTGGCTTCTAGTTAACTTTTTCACGATTTAGATAGGAATTAGTCAGCACTGGGTTAAGAATCTGTCAAGAGAATCCACTTATATCTCCAGAAAATGACTAGAACCCAACCTACATTTCTCCATATGGCAATAAGATGACCAAGATTTAACTGTATATGAATATGTTAATCTGCATGTTGCATGCTAAAAGCTTAAGAAACAATCCTTATAAAATCCAACTTTATGATAGGAGCAGAAGTAAATTAACCGATGCACAAGCTGACAAGTATGAATATATTTTTAAAAGCACATAGTAACACGCACATGGGAACATAAAAAAGATCAGCGAAACGTTGTACAAAAAAACCTTGGCTTTGCAATGCCTCAACTGACCTGTAAAGGGGTCCCTGTGAGAAGAAGCCGCCTCTGGCAGCGGTACTTGTCAAGATCACGAGCTAAAACCGACTCTCGGTCCTTCATTCTTTGTGCTTCGTCAATAACTATATACTTCCAATCAACTCTCGAAAGTTTTGATTTATCATACATGATAAATTCATACGTTGTCACAAGGACATTGAATTTCATTGCACAAACCTCCTAACATGATAGAAAAGAAAAATATGAGACTTCAACACTTAAAGGAATCTTGTACACAAGAACTTTAAAATTCGAAAAAGAAGAGAAGTAGAAAAATCTTACCTGAGAAAACAATTTTGTTCGCTGATCTTTGTTGCCGACATAGTAAATGCATGAAACGCTCGGCAACCAATTATGTAACTCACTCTGCACAGAACTAAGTTAGACAGCATGGAAAATAAAACATTAACCAGAATACGATTGAGTTTAACTAACCTTCCAGTTAACCAGAACAGCATTAGGAACAATTATAAGATGTGGGCCATAATTGCTTTTGAACTCCATCAGATAAGCAATCAAAGCCATAACCTGTACATAGAAGATATCGGCAAAGCTTGATTAAGGAACTGAAAGATACCAAACTGAATGGAACCTCCTACACTACAACCACGGAATATATTTTTGTTGCTTAGTAAAACAAAAGCAGAAGCTTCGCTGCCAGGTGCACGGAAGCAATAACGGGCAAGAAGCTACCTGGACAGTTTTTCCAAGACCCATTTCATCAGCCAATATACCATTCAACTTGTTATTATACAATGAAAGCATCCACTGCAATCCGACCTGGAAGGGCGGTAAATTGATAAGTATGTTAGATATACCATTCAATATGTATGCAACAAACTAAAATGGACCAAGTTGTCAAAAGATGGTACATAAAGTCTATTCGCCAAATCAACCCATAACCAAAGACGTAACAATGTAATGCAAATCGAGGGCTGCAAGGATAAAGTGACATACAAGCTGATAGTCCCTCAAAGTTCCTGCCCGTAGCATCGAGGGCTGCCGAATAACCCTTTCACTTACAGCATGTGCAAGAGTATAATATCTGTTGACAACCAAAAAGAAAAAGATTTAGTGAAAGATTAACAAAGCGAGCACTAATTTATTGTACAACAGAGCATTGCATCAGATTTCTGTAATTCTAGCTCTGTAGATTTATAAAACCTAAGACTGTCTTCTTGCATATTAGAACAAGGAATCAACTACTTATTCGAGTCCAAAAATGGCATTATATAACTGATAGACTCATGTCACATTAAAGGAAGGGGAGGGAAAGTTCATAACTTTTCATGAATTTAAGATTTTCAAACCATAGAAGACTATATAGGGACCCACGTCTATGCATATACAAGGGTAAACTGATCTTATTTCAAAGCCTCCAAATTCTGGTAATGTTGCATTTGAGAATCCAAAAAATGAATAAGTTGTGTTTGGCATGTGACAGAAGTATCAAAATCCGCATTTGTAAACAAAAAACTCTGATTCAAAAAGTATCTCCCGTTAAGCAACTTATAAGTTATAATCATCTATAAATAATACGAGCCTAAACTGGTGTCATTTCAAAACTTTCCAATTTAAGACAAGTTGTATCTGATCATTCCAAAAATGGACATTTGGTGGAGGTACCAAATGGAACAATTGATAGATATGATAAGCAGTCTTCCGAAGATAGTAAAAACTCAGTTTCTATACGTATCACAACGACCATTCTATAAGTATTGATCATTGAGCAATAGCCATTAGAAGCTTACTTGCTAACAGATGAACTATCCTGGGGTGCATTCATTGAAGAGAAACGGTTTCTTATTAGAACTTCTTCCCTCGCACAAGATGCTGCAGCTCTCACTTCTTCTTCAGATAGACCCTTTAGCAGCAAATTAAAAATTATATGAAACAAAAAGAATATGGGATGAAGAATCATGTTTGCATTTTCATACAAAAATATGAATTCAATGTGCAAGCGGAAGAACAGAGTACCTGAGCCCTAGCAGCTGCAGATGCGGCATTTGCTGCGTCCTCTACCTCCTGTTGGTTCTTGGCAGCTGTTATTTTGCCTCCAAGCTTATTGAGATAATCTTCTGTCTGGGATAAAAATGAAGAGAGAACCTCGTATCTCTCAGCAGCCTCACCTGGTACGCTAGTCTGTTGCTCCAGAAGAATCTGTCTGTATCGCTCCACATCATTGTTTTTCAAAGCTTCCATTCTTTTATTGCGATCGTCATCTTTTTTCTTTGAGAACTCCCTCAACATCTTCTCATGATATTTAGCAACACCCCTGTTCCGGGAAGTCCGTGCATCACGGATTGCCCAGTGAGACTCAAGAAGCTTCTTACGCCACTGGAAGATGGATTTCAGTTGTTTCTCCCTAATGGCTCTCTGAGCAGCCTGAACTTGCCTGTTGAGCTCCATACGTTGGCGCTCACATAATCGAACAAATTTCCTATATGGTCTATCCGGCATAGCCATTATTTCTTGTTGCTGCTGATCAACTTCATCCCTCACACGTGCCTGTACATCCTGCAGTCGAAGCTTCTTTTCTTCAATTTGCAACTTCAAAACAAGATCTGGCCTTATCCTTTTTCTCTCCAAATTCACAGCCAATAAACCACCAATCTTCTTCAAATTCTCATTCCTCCTTTTGTTAATCACTTTGATGCCTTCCTCAACAAGGAGATCTTTCACATCATATGCCAGAGCTAGATTGTTATTATTGTTGAGCATCATACTTGATCCAAAAGAATCGTGTTTCCGGGTGAAGAAAGGGAAGTCAAACAGCGGACCATGATATTTTCTAGAAGGGCCAGGATCTTTTGCTTGAGGTGAATTTCCTGATTGCGCAGTTATTCTACCTTGAACAGTGTCAGAACCAACAGCAGGTCCTGATACAACTGCCTTACCCTTGTCCGTGGTACCCTCACTTACTTGAGAAGTTCTCTGAATCCCATGCTCTACCTCCTGTTCCTGTTTATGAGGAAATGCAGTATTCCTCTGTTCTTCTTTTGCAGGAAGAGAAACTGATGGATTTCCTTTTATTACAGACGTACCTTGTGCATTAACTGTTGAAACTGCAGTTGCTTTCTCCTCATACACTTCTCGTTTCAAATTATTCATTCCACCAGACAATATCACAGCTTGAATATCCTTGTTATTGGACTCCATGGGATTTCTACCCAAAGCTCTATCATGAGTAACTGCTCCAGCAGGGGCAGCCACCTGCTGCGACTGTACTTCTAGGGGAGGTGGTGCAATAGCTTGAAGTAGTTCACGGGGCAAAGTTCTGTCACCTTTCTGCCATCAAGTCAAATCAGGTAGTCCATAAAAAAATTAGAAAAGACAAAAAGAAGAAGAGTATTAGGAAAGTAATCTGAAGTGATAAAACAAACATAAGTGTGGGTAATTATAGAAACTTCGCAAACCTTTATACGCCTAAAAGCCAGAATTTGGGCTTTAAGAACATGCAGTTGCTGTTTTGTAAATCCCGGGTGTGGTTGAGCTTGTGGCATTTGTCCTTTCTGAGACGGTAAAGCGTTTTCCAATCCATTATCATTAGATGAAGCTGCAGACTGTGGAGAAGATCTATTCATGTGCTGCCTAGCATGCTGTATTTGCAGCGAGTCTGAGCCACTTAACATGCTTTTGCCAAGCAGCAAATGATCTGAACCCTGGTTCATGTTTGCAGGTGACTGTGGGGGAGGCATAGAAGACATCCCGCTACCATTAATGGTAGGTTGCCTAGGTGGTAACTGGTTCTCCCTCCCATGAGTGGGGAACTGTTGACCTTGACTGACACTAGAGTTGTTGACTAACATAGCATTTGGTGTTGAACCACCCACATGGCCAGGTGACAATGTCTGCCTTGCTTTGGTAGATCCTGAATGCCCAGACACATCACTTGAAGAATTTCCACGAGGTGAACTTTCATTTGCAACTTGTGGAGAAGTGACCTGCTGCTTTGACATAGAGACTGGCAAGGACTGTGGACCTGTGTTGCTTTCATTAACTTTTTGCTGACCAAGCATCCTAGACTGCATAAGTGGCATTAGTTGTGCCACCAGATTAGCATTTTGAGGAAGTGAAAGATCAATGTTACGCTCAAGAGCCAAAGCCTGCATGGCCTGCAGTTGGGCGGCCATTGCTACCTGGCTGTTCGCCATGGTATGGATAGTCTGTTGAGATTGTGGGGTTTGCATAGGTCTTATACTATTCCCTGGCACCAACTGGCCAAACGATGTTGGAAGGGCAAAATGTTTTTGATTCTGATTTTGCATTTTATTTTGATTTTGACTATGATCAGAAACTGTCTGGTGGCCTTCCTCCACCTGCTGCTTCCCTCCAAGGCCAAAATGGTCAGATGGTTTCTTGGATGATGGAATCTGTGCCTGATTAGCACCCTGAAATGACATGAGATCCTGCATTTTTGCATTTCCCATCTGCAGCTCTTGATCTTTCCCCATCATTCCCATTTTCATCTGCTGCTGGGCTTGCATGCCAGGAGACGACTTCTGTTGAGCATGGAGAGCATATTGCATGTATGCCTGATGGATTGGGTTCATCATGTGTTGTTCAAAACCCTGTCTCATAATTTGCCCTTCCTCTTGGCCTTGTTGCTGAGATACACGCTGCAGATGCATAGAGCCAGAACTCGAAGCAACACCACCTCCCAATACTCCTTGCCGAATTCCAGACTGATAAGCTAATATAGCTTCTCTCCCTTCTGGGTTCCGAAGTAATTGTTGTTGCAAGGACTGCACAAACATACACAAAATATACTTAAAACCTGAGTCAAGTGATGACACGCCAAACTGCTAATTCTGAGTGCTGCCAAAGGGTGACCAAACTCCAAGGAGTTAGAATCAAGGATGATGAGTTTCATGGTGAATCTCGATTTAATAGCAAAGATACAGGAATTCAGTATATGTATTGATAGAATTGAAATTATGCAATGGCAACTATGAGAATTACAAGAGAAGAGCATAATTGTTTCAAATAAAAATAAATGCCATCATCAACCTATGATGTCAAAAAGCCACTAGTTTCCAAGAAAGAAGTGCAACTATCTAAGTTCTCAAATGATTCAAAAGGATATATCATATATGTATGAAATCAAGAATGTAATCGCAGGGAGTAACAACCTAGCATTCATTTTTACTGAATATAAAAGACATTTCTCATAACTTTGACCACATCAACTTCCTTAAACATTTTAATACTCAAATCCAAACACATCACAATAAAGTAACAGTTTAGGAAACATTAACTCACTATTTAAAGTGCTTATGCATGTCATCAAAAAGCCTTGGACGTATAAAGGAACATACTTGGTTCTAGTATAATTATGGTTTTGTGTCTTGCTCCCCTAGCTAAGAAATGCAATGTTGCTATTATTGAAGTTAACCGTTGTAAATAGTGCAATATTAAGTGCTTGTGCATATCATCAAAAAGTGTTGTACATGTAATGGAGCATACTGGTTCTAGCATAATCATGGTTGTCCCTTTAAGACACATACATGATACATATGTGTCTTGTTCCCCTAACTTTTCAAGAAATGCACTGGTGCTACTTAAATTCAACTTAACCCTTCTAAATGATGTTCTATTAGGTTGCTCTAACAAGTGTGCTCTGTGTGTCCTATTGACCACTGAAGTAAGTAACCAGGTTTTTTAATAATTTCAACGCAAGACCACAAATTGACCAATATACCATGAACACACAATTCAAAGAGCCTATGCTGCATCCTCATTACAATTCAAGTAACATATATTTCTGGTATGATGACACTTACTGCCTACCGGTTAAAATACCTTGAATCCACACATCAAGACCTTCCAAATTTAAACTTTGAAGAACAGTGATATCTAACATTACTCAGAAGAAAAAGGACAAAGCAGAGTGGCAAAGCCAAACAGATAGGCCATATATTGTCTGCCGATATAATTCAAAACAAGTATTAAAAAGACAGTGCACATTCTTTACAAACCTAAGTTTAGCATAATGGACATACTTAAACGAGTTGCATAACTGGAAACACTTTGTATGAGAAGTATAGTAGGAAATCACACATTCACATTGAGTTTTAGCACAGTTATAGATTATACTTCTGAGACTTATAATAGTTTAAGCCCTAATGTACCTCTTTGAGGCTCTTTCTAGCATCAAACAAAGAGGTTCAAAGTAAAAAAAAAAAACAAATTTGTTTAAATAAACCGTCATACAGCTCAAAAGTCCAAATCTTCTGCCCAATTGAGTACAACAATTTGAAAATAAAATCATGATCGTATGCATAATATAAATCCAGCTAATCTAAAATTTGTCAAGTGAGTGTACATTCAGTAACTACTTCCATGATCAAATCAAAGTGGTAAGAAAAAACCCTAACCTGCCTTTGCTGCTGTTGCTGTTGATGCTGCTGATGCTTCATCGGATCAAAACCCAAATGGGGGGTCGATACCGCCGATGAAGAAGAAGACGGCGATGCAGATGAGGATGGTGGTCCTGGCACCATGTTCCGCCCATGACCACCTCCTCCCTGCTGAGCCCCGCCACCAGATTGCATGCAAAAATTGTAGAATATTTTCTATAATTAAAAAAGAAATTATTTTCGCAAAACGTGAAAATCGAACACCGTAATTAATCCAATTCCTTCCAAACTAAAACCGCTGTCGTTTAACCCCTCACGATCCCCTCAACGACCACTTTTTCACTCTATAACACCAAAAAATTCCCTTTCAGGAAAAGATGGAAAAAAATCGAAAATTTTGCAGAATTTTGGAAATCGTTTTTTCCCACACGAATCAGATCGTGTGGGCCACTAGTGCGATGGACCTTGAAGACGGCGAGCCACCGAAGTTACCGGAGGAATCATCTGATTTCAATACAGACGCTCTCTTTCTCTCTCACCTAGTGGTGTGTGGAGATTTCACGCCCAATTTCGTCAGTCAAACCCTAACACTATCCAATTTTTTACCCCCAATTTTTTCTCTATGTTTTGCGTGTGGGGTGTTTATACGCCTCCTCATCAGGCTTTTCTAATGAGATGGGTCCCCCCAATATTTGGTGTAACCCAATATGGGTTACGTCAACTCTAGTTAATTGTGCTGGGTCCCACAGTTATTATAATATTTTTTTCTCGTACAAATTAAATTAACGCATGGAGCAATTTTTAATAGAATAATGTGGCATAATCATTTAAAACCAATTATATTTTTTACCGTATTTGTATTTTTATTTATTTATATTATATTATAAAATATTTGATAAAAAATTTTAAAAATCATTTTTTTATTAATGAAGCACTGTCTATTGATGTATGTTACTTAAAATTCAAGACTACAAGTAAATTATGCATAAATACAATTTATTAAAGCTTTATGTTTGAATTCGTGTAACTAACTGCGAATAAACATAATTAAATAGAGGATAAAAATCTCATTTTAAAATATAAAAAATCCAAAATATAATTAGGATAATTATCGAGTT